GGGGACTTGGGGATTGGGTCGAGAAGTTAAAAGGGAAGAATGAACTTAGCAGCACAGACCAGAGAATAACGAAATAAAAAGAGCACGACGATAACCAACCGCATAGACACACGTCAAATGGTGGTCGATGGAATTAGTGGTATCGGTATTAGGTTATCGTCAGACAGCCTTACTCGTGGGGTATCGGAGATACAGCCAGCAGTCGACTCCCATTTCACCCAGTCTAGCCCGGGGACAGGGAAATTCCGGCCACTCTTCAGAACTTGTCTGTGTTGAGGGGTCAATTGTCATCGTGTTAGCACTCCTTAACCCTCAACCCTACAACCCCTCAGCATTCATCCGCCCCTGAGCATTCATCAACCCCTCAAGTATTCGTCAGCATAATGTGGGTGGTTGACGTTGCTCTAGTTTGGCTCGCTCCTTTTTTCCTATCTCTCCTATCTACCATTCTTAATCTCTCCAGCTTCTTTTCTTTGTATGCTACTCTTTAGTAGGAATTTCTTCTGTCTTCAGCACTGATATGACCTTTTTGTGATGCAAGTGCCGTAGAACTCTAACCAAAACTAAACTAAACTAAGTTGAACGATTCCCATTTCACTCCGTCTAGCCAGGGGACAAGGAATTTCCAACCACTCTTTAGAATGTGTCTCTGTTTAGGAGTCATTTGTCCTCAAGTGTGGGCACTTCTTTATCCCTCAACCCTACAACCCCTCAGAATCCATCAACTCTTCAGCAGTCATCAACCTCTCAGCATTCATAAGTAAAATACTCGTAAGTGACTTGTTAAAGGTTGCTCTGGTATTGTTTGCTCCTTCTTTCTTATATAATATCCTATCTATCAATCTTATCTCTCCAAGTTCTTTTCTTTGTAGATTACTCTCTTGTCGTAACTTCCTTTAATCTTTGACCCTTCTGTGACATATGTGTGATGCAAGTACTGTTAAACTCTTACTAAAAATAAACTAACTAAATGACTTCCATTTCAATCAGTCCTCCCTGGGGACAAGAACATTCCAGCCACTCTCAAGAACGTGTTTCTGTTGAGGGAGTCAATTTTCCTCTTGTTAGCACTTTTTAAACACATAACCCCTGAACCCCCTCAGAATTCATCAACATAAAGTGAGTGGGTTTGGGGGGGGGGTGCTTTGGTGCATTTGCTTTTTCTTTCCTATCAAATATCTGTCATCCTCATCTCTTCTCGTTCTTTTCTTTGACTGTTACTCCCTAGTAGTAACACTAATTTTAATCTTCGGCACTTATATTATGTCTTGCAAACGCCGTAAAACTCTTACTTAAACTACCTTTTGGAAACTTTCCAGATCATGTCTCGGTCGAGGAGTGAATTTTCATCATGTTAGCCCTCCTTTTAACCCCAAACCTCTCAACCCCTCAGCATTTATCAACGTATCAGTATAATTTAATTTTATCAGCATAACCTCTAAGGCAGTCAACAATATGAAACCTCCTCCGCCCCCGCAAGCTTCTTGTCGCTCCAGAGAGGCATTTTCTTTGACCAGAACGAGTCAAGCGTTCGTGTCCTGTTCTTTTTTAAAAATAACTTCTTGTTGTTGTTGTTGTCGTTGTCGTTGTCGTTGTCGTTGTCGTCGTCGTTGTTGTATATGTTGTTGTTTTTGTTGCTGTGCGTTTTTGGGGTTTATTTTGATACTTTTTGTTGCTGTTGATTTTTTAGGGGTTGGGTTTTTTATATTGATCTGTGGGAGTGAGGATATTTGTTGGGGGGGGGGGGTGGTTGCAGTCCTCAGAGCATCATATTACGTCACCAGAAGACAGGCCTAGTGATCGATATGAAACGCCGTTACTCTTCCTATGTAACTGAGTTAGCTCACTAAATTGCTTCCCTGGCTCGTTTTCTGCGGGTCCCCCTTGGGGTCGCGTCCAGGATAGGAGCGGAGAGTTAGATGTTGACAGCGGAGCCCCAAGAAACGATGAAATGCCTCGTGGGACGAGGACTGGTACCGATGAGGAGGAACTGGTAGATCGAGAGAAGGGGACTAGGGGATGGATGGGTGAAGAGAAGGGGACTAGGGGATGGATGGATGGAGAGAAGGGGACTAGGGGATGGATGGATGGAGAGAAGGGGACTAGGGGATGGATGGATGGAGAGAAGGGGACTAGGGGATGGATGGATGGAGAGGAGGGGACTGGGGGATGGATGGATAGAGAGAAGGGGAATAGGGTTGGATGGATGGAGAGAAGGAGACAAGGGGATGGAATGATGGAGAAAAAAGGGAATGGGGGGGGGGGATATGAAGGAGATGAGAATTTTCGTGAGCTGCTGGAAATCTTGAAGGAATGTTCGGTGTAGAGAAAGTGTGAATATGGAGAGATACAAGGGAGTAAAGCGGTTCTGTTGGGTGTGGGGGTAAACGTTCAGGGTTTTTTTTTCGCCTCTGCCTCTTTCTCTCTCTATCTGTCTTACTCACTATCAGTGTCTCTTTTTCAGTCTCTCGCTCTCCGTCTCCCTCCCTCTTTGTCTCTCTTTCCTACCCTCTCTCGCCCTATCTCTCCCACTCTCTCATCCTGTTTCTCCATCTCTCTCCCCCTCTCTCTCT